AGAAAATAAAATTTGATTTATTAATTCATGTTAGAAGCGACGTCCATAGATATATCGGTCACGCCCCACCTTCCTCATCCCCATTACCTCCCTCATCGGCTCCCTTAGCCCCCTGTGGTGGTGGCCGATTTAGTTTTGGCGGCGGATTTGATGGTTGGCCGCTCGATGTCCCACATTTCTTAACACACAAACAACTTCCACGCAAGCATTTTCCGGTCATAAAAGCTTCTTGCCTGCACATTGTTTTGCAATTCTCCATATGATTAGTACTCAACCATAAACACATTCCCTTGAACTTCTTGCTCTTCGAATGGCACATTCTCGCCTCACATAGTATCATTATTTCATCTGCATCCAAAAAAACCGTTATTCTCATTAGGCAACCCAACACAGTAAGAAAACTGAACAAAAGTAGAGAGATATATAATCACTTAATTTTATTAAGTAGAAAATTATTTCAAGTAATGAACTTGTCAGGTCGACCGAGCTTACGAGTCAAGAGTAGTGTGAGTAAGAGAACTATCCCATGTATCTTCTTCTCCATGTTGAGGTTTTCAAGCTGTGATTGATGTGTTTGAAGAAGATGAAGTTAGTGTATTTATACACCCAACGTAGAGGATTTTTGGCAAAACTTTGATGTAAGGCCCTATATGTGAGGGTGAAGAGGTAAGTTGGAGTTAATGAGGGATGAAAATACATTAATTGTGTTGATAAGTAGATGATTGCTGTTTTAATTTATTGGAGATCCATTTGTTATAATAAAAAGTTGAAGTTGATAACGGAGGATAAGTTGTAATCTAAGCTAGTTGGAGGTTAATAACTTAGGTAAAGAAATAATTAATACACATAAGAATTTGGCAGGGAAAAAGAAATTAAAATTAGAAGTTGTTTAAAATACCTTTAGTTTTTGTAATCTTTCAAAACATGTTGAATTTAGGTGGCAGATTCTCACGCTTCGGATGCTGACATAGCGAAAAATCTATGCTTCGTAATGCTGTTTATATATTCATTTTTGCTCTGGAGTTAGGCTTGGTATTAGACATAAATAACTTTTTTCAAACTTGGTAAGTGTATATTGAATTTTATTATTTTTTCTCTTAGTACACATTTTTTTCTTAGTTTGGACAAGTAGCAATCTTACCATATTATAAATTTCTCTCATATTTCTCTCCTAAACTACGATTTACAATAATTTTTTGCACAATCTATTGCTCTTTTTTTCATTAATTAGTCCATCAATATTTTTAATTAAAAAACTTATTTTAGTGATAACTTTTATCATATATTTTTAACTAAACACCCATGTAGTACACGAGTATTGTACTAGTTTTCTTTAAATGCAAACTAAAATCTTTCCCTATATATTAATTCAAACATGTTGAGCCTAGGTGGTAGATTCTCACGCTTCGAATGCTGACATGGCAAAAATCTATGCTACGTAATGTTGTATATATATTCATTTTTGCTTTGGAATTTGGCTTGGTATTACACATAAATAATTTTTTTCAAACTTGGTAAGTGTATATTAAATTTTGTTATTTTTTTCTTTTAGTACACATTTTCTTTTTAGTTTGGACAAATAGCAATTTTATCATATTATAATTGTCTCCCATATTTCTCTCCTAAATTATGATTTACAATAACTTTCTGCACAGTCTATTCTTCTTTTTTCATCAATTAGTCTATCAATATTTTTAAATAAAAAAATTATTTTAACAATAACTTTTATCATATATTTTTTAACTCAACTCTCGTATAGTTCACGGGTACTGTAGTACTCCTCGTTAAATGCAAACTAAAATTCACAAAAATTTGCAATGTGCAATTTCAAATGCGTCTTGTCCAACCAAGATACACTTAGTTGCACATTTTTATGAATTTTCGCGAATTTCAATTTCCTATTGTGTTTACTAAATAAATATTTTATGTTGCAAAAGTAAAAAACGTACAGTTTGCAAATTTTTCTTTTCCCCGAATTTAACAAGTCAGTGCAGGAAGGCTCGACTAGCCGTGACACCATAATTATTGTATTAAGTTGGAATGAAGAGGAAAAAATGTATCTATTAATCTATATATATATATAATGGAAAATTGTTACATGTACATAATATAGGTATACAAAATAATCACATGGACATGGAGTGGGGTCCACTTGATTTTTTACTTTTAATAGGTCTCACTTAGTGAGTATTATGTACACACACTATGTACACTATTATGTACATGTGACATTTTCCATAAATAATTACTGACAGATGCATTAAATAAAATCTATATATATATAATTACTAGCTAATAGAATTTAATAAAACCTATTTAATTTTATCTATGTGGCAATTTAACAATTTTTCCTCCAAAAACCGTTACATTTTGATGTATTTAATCTTTCATTTAATCATTAAATAATTAATACTCCAAGATGCCATGGAAGATGCCATTGTCCGCATCTTAACTCCAAGATGCTCCATTGACATTCTTAGAGATGTCCATGCTGCTAAGGAGCAAGGAAAACCCTATGTTGTGGTTTTCGTTGGAGTTAATGGAGTCGGTAAATCCACCAATCTTGCTAAGGTTAGTCCTGATAACCAATGTCTTGAAAATTATTTTTTTTTTTTTTCCTTTTTGGTCAAAGTTGCATGCATTTATCTTGTAATTCCCTCTGCAGGTTGCTTACTGGCTTCTGCAGGTTGCTTACTGGCTTCTGCAGCACAATATCAACGTCATGATGGCTGCTTGTGACACGTTCAGATCAGGCGCAGTCGAGCAGCTGCGTACCCATGCACAAAGGCTCCAGGTAGCGTTTGTGCTCGACTTGTTAATTTTTTCACTCCTACTGAAAGCTGGCAGCTGATTTATATCTGTAATTTTTTCAGATCCCAATCTTTGAGAAGGGTTATGAGAAAGATGCCGCAATTGTTGCAAAAGAAGCCATCCAGGAGGCCACTCGAAATGGCTCGGATGTCGTTTTGGTTGATACAGCTGGAAGAATGCAGGTAATTTGATCTGGAATATTTTTTAGAAATGTGATTTGTTAGAATGGCGTGTATCATATTATTTCGTTTATGTCCTGCAGGATAATGACCCATTGATGCGAGCTCTGTATAAGCTTATTTACGTGAATAATCCTGATCTGGTTTTGTTTGTTGGCGAGGCTCTCGTGGGTAATGATGCAGTAGATCAGCTGTCCAAGTTTAATCAGGTCAATTGCACTTGTTCTGTTTTCTATTTTGCATTTCTTTTTTGGACAGAAGAGTCGTTTTCAATTAGTGTTAGATTGATTACGTATTAAAAAATATTCTATTGATTGGTCAGAGGTTATCAACAAAAAAGATTTGTCTAAGCCACTTTGTTTCTTTTTGTCCAAGTCATTTCTTTTTTTCTTTTTTTTTTCCTGACTAGGCAGTCAAATTCTTTATTTCCACTTATCATTGATCGAGTTTTTCCCCTGGATATTGCAGAAGTTAGGTGACCTGTCGCTGTCTTCCGATCCCAGATTGATTGATGGAATCCTGTTGACTAAATTCGATACGATTGATGACAAGGTATAATGCCAAACACTTCTTAAGCTCTTCTTAACTCGTATGTCCATTAATTATCGAGTTTTTTTTTTAGGTATTTTTATTAATTATGTGATAAATGATTTTTAGGTGGGAGCTGGATTGTCAATGGTATACATATCTGGAGCACCTGTGATGTTTGTTGGGTGTGGGCAATCGTATACCGACTTGAAGAAGCTTAACATCAAGTCCATAGTGAAGACTCTCCTCAAATAAGAAAAGATAATTCATTCCCGTTAGACTCTGCGCGAAGTTTGTTTTGTTTGTCGGCTTTAATATCTATTTTTCTCAACTTTAACCTGAGACTCTGAACTTCCCCATCTGCTGTGATTGTTTAACTTCCTTGTGTGTTACTTCTTCTCATTTCAATTGTGTTTATTACTTATTCATAGTCATTTTCTGATTCTTTTTCTCTTCCAAGCAGGTAATTTGGCCGTCGATCAGTTTATGAATTATTTAAAAAAAAAAAAATCAATTCTTGTTTAATGTACTAGAACAAATGGGAAAAAAGGACTATCAATGTAGTTGATTACAACACCAATAAGACAATATTTTAAGTAAAACCTCAAACAATCAGGAAATATAGATTGCAGTAACAGTATAAGAAAATTACAAACTGAAAAACAGTGAGGTATGAACCTGTAGAATACACACCAAACAACACACAAGTAAACAACACCAACAACTCACACATTCAAGTACATGGTATAATGGAATCATATCTCTGCCTACAGGTAATACTTTTGCTCTATATATGATTCTTGGTGACTTGTTCGTGTGATAAATTAAGGAGATTTTGGTCCATCTGGCAAAGTGGGCTTAGGTAATTCTGGTAACTTTGGGAGTTCGGGCAACTTGGGCACATCTGGCTTCGGGAAAGTTGGTAACTCGGGTTTTGGTAGCGATGGCAGTTCTGGTTTTGGTAATGTTGGTAATTCAGGTTTAGGAAAAGTTGGAAGCTCAGGTTTCGGCAACTCTGGCTTTGGTATTGTTGGTAATTCAGGTTTTGGCAATGGTGGAAGCTCAGGCTTTGGCAACTGTGGCAATTCAGTCGTTGCTAGTTTTGTTTGTTCTGGCTTTGGCAAAGTTGGAAGCTCGGGTTTTGGCAACTCGGGTTTTGGTAGTGTTGGAAGCTCGGGTTTTGGCAATGTAGGGATCTCGGGCTTTGGCAATACTGGAATTTCAGGTTTTGGCAATGGCCGAAGCTCAGGCTCTGGCAATGGTGACAACTCGGCTTTTACTAGTTTTGGTGGTTCTGGCTTCGGCAAAGTTGGAAGCTCGGGTTTTGGTAACTCGGGCTTGGGTAATATTGGTAATTCAGGTTTGGGGAGCTCGGGCTTCGGTAACTCAGGCTTTGGTAATGTTGGTAATTCATGTTTGGGGAGCTTGGGTTTCGGTAACTCAGGCTTTGGTAATGTTGGTAATTCAGGTTTGGGGAGCTCGGGTTTTGGCAACTCAGGCTTTGGTAATGTTGGTAATTCAGGTTTGGGGAGCTCGGGTTTTGGCAACTCAGGCTTTGGTAATGTTGGTAATTCAGGTTTGGGGAGCTCCGGTTTCGGTAACTCAGGCTTTGGCAGTGTTGGAAGCTCGGGTTTTGGCAATGTGGGAAGCTCGGGTTTTGATAAAGATGGAATTTCGGGCTTCGGTGGGACCTCAAGGAGATGGCGTGCTTCGACTTGAATCGTGTTGCCTAATATCGATGACAAAGTAATGAACAATAGCAAGAAAAGGGAAGTGTGGTTGTAAATTGCCATTGTTTGAGGTGACTAAGAACAAGTGAGTTTTCTTTGATTGTATGTAGTGTGCACTTATTGGTTTTTGAGTGATCTATGGAGTTTGGGTGTTGTGGTTTATATAGAGTGGTTGATAATGTGGTTGTTAAACCATATAGAAGAAGATGGGAATTAGGTCAACCTCTCCAAATGGGATTTCTTCTAATACTTCATCTGCATTAGAGAGGGTAGGTTTGAACTTTGAAATATAAGTTAAAACTCAGTCAAAATATATTCATCATGCATTTATTTAAATCAAGTAATCCATAATGTCTTATAATTTTCATCAGCATGAAAGCATGGTTTGTAAATACAATAAAGTTAGTTATATTTCTTATTTAGAAAAAAATTCTGTATTGTTTGAATATTAGTGGGAGGGAGGACAAACTCCTTATGTACGGATTACTTAGAATATACGGATTAATGACCGTGGTACTGAATGTACATATCTAATGAATAAAAAGATTCTACTTCTATACCGATTTTTTTTAAAAAAAAAGTGGCTACTTCTAATTGTTTCAAACTATCTTTCTTAATTGAAACGTAGCGATATTACGGTTATGGCTAATTTAACATATCTATTGATAATTATATCAATGGACTGCTTGGTTTTATAGAATAAAAATAAAATTTGCATATGGCTAATTTAACATATCTATTGATAATTATATCAATGGACTGCTTGGTTTTATAGAATAAAAATAAAAATTTGCAGTGGAATAACATCGCAATTAATTAGTCGAGTAAATTAAGTAACGTGTTTACTTATTTATATAATTTATCAAAGAATATATAAGTCCATTACCGCTGGTTCGCCTTCTTATTCAAAAGGGTTAGAAATAATTTTCAAGTTTGTATAAGAGTATGGAGTTTTAAGATATGGCCCATATGGGCTCATATATATATAATCTATTAATTCTGTGAATATTTGATATTGTAAAGTTGTGATTGAAGTTTAAATAAATAAATATGAGATACTTATTGTATTCATATATTTACGTATTTATTAAATTATTTGTTGGACAAGTGTTTCAAATCCTAATAAACTTGAAGTTTAAAATAATAGAACATTTATAAGTCAACTTAAAAAGGCAGAATGACAAGTGGAATTGAGTGGCATGTTTAATTTTGAAGTTAGTCAACAGAAGTGATTTGAGAGAATATAAGGGAAGACAGGGCAAATGCAAGGTAAGTACGAAAAAACATGGTCGGAAATGATGATACATATTTATTTATAATTATGTAACAAAAAACAATAAACTGACTCATATGGAAGTTAATTTATATTTATATTCTACATTTACATATAATAAAATTTTAAACTGCAGTACAACTTTATGTAAATTAAAATTTTAAATATCATATACGTAAATATAATATATAAATTATCGAATACTACTATTATGACACACCCAACAAAAAATGATATTAAAATATGTTAAATGACAAGTAGAATAAATAAAAAGTAGGATACGAATTACCATATTTGCCCATACTTGAAATTAGACACTGTGTCGTGTTGGGCTCTTGGCCTCTTGCAACGGGGCCCCTTTTTCATCTAATATAATGAATATATATAGCTGCCGATAGTAGCTTTCAGACCCTAATTCCTGGTTGACATCAGAAAAAAATGAAAAAAAATATATATATATATATATGTTCACTTCATTTATGAATTAATAGCTTCAAGTCAGAAAGTTCTTTTGCTCTTTCGGATCCAAACCCAATGGAAAAATCTGTCGCTTGTTGATAATATATAAATTTTATTTCACACTTTATTGTAGTAATAATTATAAGTAATTATTATCTAATATTTTTTTCTATTCCAAGTTATTGATAGTTTAGGTATAACATTAATCATAAAAATCATTTTAAACACCTAACAGCTCCTTTAAAATCCGTTATATTTTTTTCCACCTTGGAACTGAAACAATAACAAAAAAAATTGAATGACCATTTTTACAGCATTTAATACCAAATTTAAAACACAATGTATTCCAAATTTCAAAAATGGGGTAAATTCGCAAACTTGTGTTTTATTGGAAAAGAACAAAGACACTTTGTACACTTTAATTTCGGATTCAAAACCAATGGAAAAATCCGTGTCGCGATCGCAAATCCAAACGGCAGAAAGTAAATTTCTAACAATATAATACTGGAAACGCTGAGACTAACGACACCTCGATTAGACGTTAGCATGCCGCCTTCAGTTTCTTGCAGACTCCTTATTTTAATAGACTTAATTCTACGCCAATCATCCAAGTCAAAAATGTACGGCTTTTTAATTAATTTATTATAAGTACCCTTATTCACCCCAAAATTGCATTTTTTTTTCCTCTTACTTTTTATATAAATGTTGGTTTTAGATTATATTTATTAACAAAAATATATTATTTATATTATAAAAGATTATACTTTTATGGCATGACGAGTCAAAGGGTTTTCCACCGTCAAGTGCTGGGATTTCGAAGTTGACGGCTTGAATGACAGATCAGAAGCATCGACTTTTACGTGTCATTATTAAAATTAAATTTAAACTAAACAATCCAAATATTATTTGTTTTCTCGATTTCTTCTTTCTACTTTTTGTCTCCCTAGCATCTCAGAAGCATCGACTTTTAATTTAAATTAATTTAAAACTAAAACCTCCAAATATTATTTGTTTTCTCGATTTCTTCTTTCGACCTTTTGTCTCCCTAGCATGAGGGAAGGCTTTGAAGTCCCGAAATTTCGAATTTTTTGTGGTTGAATGTACACATGTTCATGTGGATATATTTGAACGTGTTTACGTGTTTGATTCAATCGTAAAAAGTTCGGTGAAGAGAATACTCTCATGGATGAGATTGAATCTACTGCATTGAGCAATTTTTTGTGCTAACTACATAACTAATACTAATACGTGTTAATCAAAAATTTATTAAATATGTGTAAAAATATGAATACAAATTTTTGCTTTAAAGTTTTAAATAGTTCTTACAAAATAACATCATCGTTTATATTTAAAATGATACACTTTACCGGTGAGATAAATATTAAAGTTTTTATTGATAGAAATCAGATAGATATAATTATTTTAATTTATATATATATACAATATGAATGTCAAACTATATATTGTCAAAATATATTTAAGTTATCATATATAAAAAATGATAACATATATAAATGTCATTAAGTTTTAAAATATATTTACAATTTATGTTAACCAAGTATTTAAATTTAAAAGTTCAGGATAAAAGATCCATATTTGGGTGGACTATTCGAACCCTTAAAAATTAACATATTGAATTACAAAGCGTTCGAAATTAACAATGAAAAACTCTACATTTATATATAAGAAGATAATCCATAAGAAAATCTTTACAAAATACAAGAATATAAATGATGACATTTAGGCTTTTCTTAAATTAATAAATTATATTGCAAAATGACTTGTTTATTAATTCTTGTTAAAAAAATGAAGGAAAAGGATTGTAAAATATGGTATATTTCTTAATAATAATAAAAATGTAATATAAATAAACCAGATCTCATTCCCAATTTCATTTTTTAACATCGAGTCAAAGGAAAATTAAATAGAGAACCCTTCAACACCGATTGTTCCAACGTTTTATTTAATTGTTAATATAAGTACTATGTGCAACATGTGTAAAAATTTTGTTGAATTATTTTTTGCCCTAGCTCATAAAAATTTCTGGATCCACCGCGCTGATTGGTACCTTTGGTTTTAAATTTCACTGTTGGTTTTGGTTTTTTAGTTTTCTATCACAATATGTTTGAATTTTCAACTTTCACAATTGAGAATTTCAATTTTAAGTTTCCACCACGGAAGACCTACTTTATATTTCTCAATTTAAAACTCAAACAAATCATATATTTTTATATAATTATTTAAACTAAAATAATATTATTCTTAAAATTTATATTATAAATAATTAATAAAAATAAATAAAAATATCATTAATAAAATTAAATTAGTAAGAAAAGTGATTCATAAATATAAACTTATGTAAAAGTTTAGTGAAACTTACTTTAAAATTATACAATATTGAAAAGTAAATTTAGAGTTGTATAGTTTAAATATTATAATAATTGATAATATAAAATGTAATAGACTTAGAAAATAAACTATTTAAAAAATTATTTTATTTTATGCTTATTAATATTATTGAAAATACTATTCGTGCCTAAAATTACTCTTTTGAAAATATTTATGATTAAAATTATTATTTATAATAATATTATTATGATAATATAATATCTAAATATTAATTTGATTTATTTTATTTATATACTAAATATGTAATTAATTTAAAAATAAAATATTTAAAATTATTTCTATTTTTCTATGTTTGACTATTGAATATTGATGATTGTTGACGGACGTTTCCGATCAACGGTTAAAAAGGTAAATAATGAGAAGATAACAGGAAAAAGACGAGAAGATGCGGTTTAATTATGATTTTATTAAAGGATCACGAGGTCGGCCTCTCGTACGAGGTCGCCACTTGCGATATACTTACAGATTCTTACGCGAATTTCTTACAAGCCTAGAGAGAGAAAATGTAGAGAGAGTTTAGACAGTTGGGATTCAACAACCCAAATTAAATGAAGTGGGCTTGCTATTTATGGTGGCCTTAAATGTGACACTGTTCAGGTACTGTTCGCTGGTCTTGTCGTACAGTAGTTCGGCGGGACGGGCCGGCCTTTCTCTAACTGATTAGGAGTAATTTCTGGATCTCCCAATCATTGTCTGCAACGCATTTAATGTGGGTGTGGACTGCATTTAATGTGGACATACTCCTGAGCCGGGCTAGACGTTTTAGACCTGCTGACTAGCCTGGGATGTCCCATCGGCAATCATTAGTTCGACAAGTGGCCTTATTTTATTGTTTTCTGGATCCTTAACCCCAACGAGGGTCGAGCCGGGCTATAGCGGCGTCCATCCCTCGGTTTCCCAGACCCCACACCCTAAGTCGGTCAGCCCTATGACGGGTGTGGCAAGGTGCCGACCTCGGGGTGTGGTGTCGTCCGACACTCCAATCGATTTTGACCATTTCTCAAATCGGCACTTTCCAATTGTCACGGTACCCGGCCTCACTAACCGGGTCGGCCTCGCTCGGTTCTTGGTCTTCCAGACCGTTACCCTTATAGGAGCCCGAATCGAACGTCAATATACACCTGGGACGACAGGATGCCGACCCCGACAGAAAGGGGGCGGGGTGCCGACCTAGATACTAGCCCTGGCAACCATCCCCTTTGACTTTGATTTCTGCTCAGCTCAGCTCCCACGAATGATCTTGGTGACCGGTTTCTTCGGTTCGGCCGGTCACCGCCCGGCTCCCAGTCTCTCAGACCGGTATCCTAATAGTAGCCGGACTCGGATATTAACAATGATGTTCGGAACTATGTGAATTAGATAAATAAAATACAAAAAATCAATAGCGAATCTTAGAAAAAAAACTAAAATAATTTTTTAAATAATTATTTTTCTGATTTTATTAAATATTTAGCTATCGATATATAATAGTTAAATTATATATTCTTAAAATTCACTTATCGTTACATGGATTATCGACAGTCATCGATGTCAGGATGTCTGCCTCCTTATCATGGCGGCATTGCTTTCGGCCGTGAACCTTCGAACCACCGCCGCTCTGAGAACGACATTTTAAGAGGTATGAGGACGAGCAACTCAGTTAGGTTTGTAATTGAGGACGAGAAGCTTGACAATGGGAACAATTAGGATTTATAATTGGGGAAGAAATTATATGGCTTTCACTTTTGGAGTGTATATTTGTGTGACAGCGTGACATCCTCGTAAGCAAAGCGTGAGGATGCGTGAGATTGTCTGCCCTGACACATAGGCACGAAGCTAGCCGCCGAACAATTTGATGGACTTATCAAAAATTTGACCCTTTTAAACTCTGTCTGATGGTTCGGGGAGCAATTTTTATCTTAAAGTTTGATTTAAATTGCAAAACGCTTAAAAGTCATTGTTTTATTTAAAATTATGTCTTTATTATATTAATTAAGTTCAATAATAACGAGTCACGAGCTATTGTGTACCAAATATTTATCAATATTTCCCAAATCAATTCGCTAACTAAATAGTCCAATATCTAATGCCTCTTTATATGTATCATGTTTCCATGAAAAACCTGTACATATAATTATTAAACATTGACCCAAGTAACTTTTCCCTATTATTCTGCTTTTTTTTTAACTCGCTACACCAATATACAGCTAAGTCAAATACTACATATATATAAACCCAAATCAAATCTTCTCTCTACTGCTACATAATATATATTTGCACACTTTAACCTTATTTTTTAATTTGTCAATCAAAACACACACACACACACACACATTCATTAATGTCAACACTATCTTCCGATGAAGAAGCCGGCGGCGGACATCATGAGTTTGAAGGGCCTTCCTCTTCTCGCCGGAGAACGATGCCGGTGGTGGTGACGTGGCACCCGGCCGGGATTTGGCCGGCGCCGTTTGTGGAAGCTCTTGCCTTTCGGGTCGCCGTGGATGCCTCTCGTACTTCCGGCCGCCTTGCCGCCGCCCAAGCACTTTTCAATATTTTTCAAGTACGTCTTTATTTGCCTGTCCAAATTGATATTCTTTTCTGTTTAAAATTTAAATCTCTACTCTTGCTCATGCAAAAATAGGGAGGAAAAATTTAGATACATTAGATACATTAGACGAACAAATCAGTAACAAATGATAAGTTTTAGTCTTGGACAATTATTCGTTTTGCACAAATAAGTTGGTCGACTTATTGTACCTTTCCAACATAATTGCATATTGGTGTTATAAAATGTCATATTTTTATTTATATTATTTTGTAGAATAAGATATTTAAGTTTAATTAAAATTACTTATATATGTCACATATAGTTGCGTCTAAATTGTCCACGTGTTTAAATTACGTGACCCATAAAAGATTTACAGCATCCTAAACGACGCATTGTCCATTATGATCTATACTAGTGTTCGGTTATGTGCACATGAAACAAAAATTTATATATTATATGTACTTATATAATATTTAGAAATTTAAATTAGATAATGTGTGTATTATATTTTAAAATTTTACTATATGTGAATGCATAATATAAATATAAATTATTTAACTTCCATATAAATCAGATTTTTCTTTGTTGTATAACTATAATACAAAATAGGAATATTAGCTTTAAAATAATTTAATATTGTATATTCAGAAAATTTAAAATCTTGTAAAGCTGTTAAAGAATCAAAATTAATAATAATAAAGTTTTATTTATGTGCCTATCATTTGAATGCTGGTCATAAAGATTATTATTAAATGAAGTCATATTTTTATTAATTACTAGTTGAATAAAATTTATTGAAGTCTGCTAGCAATTTTATATATATATATATATATATGTATATATATATATGAGGGAAGTGGTAAAAAAAGAAGTGATTTCATTCTCGTTTGTTGATTCGATTGTGGGGCTAATGTTACACATGCATATCAGTGATTGATTGAAATAATATAGACAGTGTAAAATCAAATCAAATAAAATAATAAACAGAAACAATTTTGGAGTTCTTTTGCATCTAAAATGGATTTTAAATATTGTCCATGCCATATAAGATAATTCATGCGGTGTTTTATGGAAATTGAGCAATTCTACGTCTCCATTGGAGGTACTCTTAAATCGAATTGTTACACACTAGTGGTTCGACTCGACACATTAAAACTTGAGTTCGAGCTCAGTTCGTTTATTTCAAGTTCGTTTGAAGAAACTCATTAAGCTAACGAATCGAGCTTGTTAAGAATTGAAAATATGACTTTTTTATGTAATTTTTGATGCCTTGGCTTAGTG